GAGCCAGCCGGAGTTGCTGGTGGAGACAGCTGCAGATGCAAGAAAACCAAGCAGAGACAAAGACCTGAGAGATGGAGAGAGGTGACATTGAGACTCTAGCCTCCAGCTCATACCTTGGCATCTGTTACATGAACCAACAAATCCCTTTTTGGTGTAAGTCAGTTTGATTTAGATTGTTTACACTTGCAACAAGAAGCCTAGTACAGTTAGTCCAGGTATATTGACCTTTTGGCTCTTTGAGCAGCACCATGGCAGTGAGCAAGAACAAGTGCCTTACAAAAGGCAGCAAGAAGTTTAGAGCCAAGAAGAAAATGGCTGATTGATTTTCTAAGGAAGATTGGTATGATGTGAAACACCAGCTATATTCAATATAAGAAATATTGGAAAAACACTAGTCAGGAGAATTCAAGGAACCAAAATCACATCTGATGGTCTCAAGGTCCATGTTTTTGAAGTGAGCCTAGCTCAGTGGTCGGCAAACTCATGAGTCAACAGAGCCAAATATCAACAGTACGATTGAAATTTCTTTTGAGAGCCAAATTTTTTAAACTTAAATTATATAGGTAGGTACATTGTTATTAACTTAATTAGGGTACTCCTAAGTCTCAGGAAAAGCCACACTCAAGGGGCCAAAGAGCTGCATGTGGCTCGCGAGCCGCAGTTTGCCGACCACTGATCAGCTAGGCCCTAGCTGATCTACAGAATGATGAAGTTGCATTTTAAAAATTCAAGCTAATTACTGAGGATGTGCAGGGAAAAGACTACCTAACTAATTTCCATGGCATGGATCTTACCTGTGACAAAATGTGCTCCATGGTCAAAAAATGGCAGACCATGATTAAAGCCCATGTTGATGTCAAGACTACTGATGGTTATTTGCTCCATCTATTCAGTATTGGTTTTACTAAAGAATGCAAAGTCATATTAGGAAGCCTCTTATAAGAGTTCAGCATTGCCCTGACTGGTTTGGCTCAGTGGATAGAGCGTCGGCCTGTGGACTGAAAGGTCCCAGGTTCGATTCCGGTCAAGGGCATGTACCTAGGTTGCGTGCACATCCCCAGTAGGGGGTGTGCAGGAGGCAGCTGGTCGATGTTTCTCTCTCATCGATGTTTCTAACTCTCTATCCCTCTCCCTTCCTCTCTGTAAAAAATCAATAAAATATATATTTAAAGAAAAAGAGTTCAGCAATGCAGAAGATGCTGGAAATCATGACCCGAGAGATGCAGACAAATGACTTGAAAAAAGTGGTCAATGAATTGATCCCAGATAGTATTGGAAAAGACAGACAAGCCTTGTCAGTCTATTTGTCCGCTCCATGATGTCTTTGTTAGAAAAGTCAAAATGCTGAAGAAGCCCAAGTTTGAACTAGTAAAACTCATGAAGATTCATGGTGAAGTGAGCTGATATATTTGAACCCCAAGTCCAAGAAGCTGTTTAAAATAAAGAATCCAGAGTTTTTATGACAAAATAAAAAATCCTATTTGTGATACTTTTTAATAAAAAGTATGACTATTGCCCTAGCCGGTTTGGCTCAGTGGATGGAGAGTCAGCCTGCGGACTGAAGGGTCCCAGGTTCGATTCCGGTCGGGGGCATGTGCCTTGGTTGCGGGCACATCCCCAGTGCGGGGTGTGCGGGAGGCAGATGATCAATGTTTCTGACTCTCTGTCTTTCTCCCTTCTTCTCTGTAAAAAAACAATAAAATATATTTTTCAAAAATTTTTTTAAAAGTATGACTATTATTATTCCTATTCAATTCATACAGTTGAGTGCCTACATGGTAAAGGCCATATACGTGGGGATAAGAACACAGGGAAAACAATGCAGTCCTGACCCTGGCTGGCTTAGCGCAGAGGTTAGAGCGTCAGCCTGAGGCCCAAAGAGTCCCGGGTTCGATTCCTGGTCAAGGGCATCATGTACTTGGATTGCACGTTTGATCCCCGAGCTTCTCTCGGGAGGCAACCAATCTAGGAGTCTCTCTCACATCGATGTTTCTCTCTCTCTCTCTCTCTCTCACACACACCCCTTCCTTTCCACTCTCTAGGAATCAATGAAAAAATATCCCTGGTTGAGGATTAACAACAAAAAAGGCTCCGCCCCTGTGTCTCAGTAGGTGAGTGTCCTCAGGGAACATGCCTGGTGCAGGCCGATCATGATCCTCTCATCATTGATGTTTCTCTCTCCTTCTTCCTTCCTTTCTCTGAAATCAATAAAAAAAATATATTTTTTTAAAAACTCAACAACAACAATAAAGACTCAACCAATGAACACATGAATAAGTGGAACAACAAATCAATGTTTCTCTTCCTCCCTTCCTCTCTAAAATCAATTAAAAAAAATGGAGATAATTAGATCATGTGCCTCTGGGGTCGTGTGGATAAATGAGACAAGGCCTGCAAGGCACAGGGCACTGCATACAGTAGGCACCAATCGTGATGATTATAACCCCCAGTACTGATCCTGAGTGGAATAATAACTGGGAAACATGAATGGGAGGTGAGAACACAAAGAAGTTGGAGAGGGAGGGCTGTAGCAATGAGGAGCAGTGGAGTTCAATGTTTCAAAAATGATGAGCCAGAGCATTTGAGATCTTGCTTCCTGGCAATTGTCATCAGTTTGGCTCAAATAAACTCATTTAAAAAAAAAAAACTCTCTCTCTCAAAAAAAGAATGATGATAATGATATTAATAATACTATTTATTAAACGCTGAAACTATGTGCCAGCACTTTGCACACATTAACTCGTTCTCACAACCCTGAGAGGTAAGTACCATCATTATCCCCATTTTACAGGTTAGGAAACTGAAGCAGAGTGGTTTAATTTGTCTCCAGCAGTGGGGATTCAAACGCAGGTCACCTGACTAAAGCTAAGCTACCACTGCACTTGATTAGCTGTGACCTGGTGCCTGCTATAATTGGGTTGTGTACAGAGAACTATGGAAGCTAGCTCACAGCCAATGAGGGCAGGTATCAAAGGAAGGGAGGATGGTGTCTGAGCTGGGTCTTGGTATCTTGGAGATGATATCTGAACTGGGTTGAAGAATTTGCCAGACTTATTAGAGGAGGAAGGGCATTCCAAGGAAGGAAAACAGCATGTGCAAAGGCCCAAAGGCTTGGAAGTGCACCCCCACTGTCATAGCAGGAATGAGAAATTGCCCAGGGTGGCTGCAGCCCACGCGGAAAAAGGCAGCTGTGGGAAGCAAGGGACGGAGGGAGGGGAAGGAATTTGGATTTGATTCTAGAAGCAATGGGGAGCCTTGAAGTCCTTTCCACAGGGGAGTGGCCAGGCCAGATCTCATTTTAGCTAGATCATGCTGATGGCCCTCTGTTGAACGCACTGGAGGGGCCCCAAAGCTGGGGACCAGGCAGAGGCAGGGATCCAGGGTGGAGATGGATGATGAGGTCAGACCCTCCTTCCTGGCTGAGTCCCCACCCTCCCCTGCCATCACCAGTAGACCTAGAAGCGCTCAGAACAGACCGAGTGGAACAGGTCAAGCGGGAATAAGGCTGCCTGGGATGGATGGGCACCCACTCCCCGACTCCCAGCCCGGGGGCCTGCGCCCCAGAAAGGAGGGACAGTGGGGAGTGAAAGTGTCAACACTCCACCCCGCCCCCAGTCCAGCCTCCTGCCCCGCCTTCACCCGCGGACCGCGGCTCATCCTGACTCAGATCGAAACCCCCGCGGCCTCCCCCTTGCGCCGAGGCAGCGAGGTCGCCGAGCTGCCCACGCCCAGCGCCAGCTGCGGGTGGCCGGCCGCGACCTTGCCGAGAGCGCCCAGACAGGCGGCCCCTGACACCCGCTCCTCGGTCCTCCCCTCACTCAGGCCACGCGCTTTGCAACGTTTGCTTTTATTCCTTCCAGAAGGGGATCCGAGAAGGGGCCGCGCCACGCTCTCGGGCGGGGATGACACTGGGTGGGGGAGAGCACCTACGTCCGAGGGCCGCGCTGTCTCGGCGGAGCGAGGGCCGACCTCTTACTGCACGCCCTCCATCATCTTCAGGAACTCTGCGGGAGGGGGAGGAACAGGCGTCAGGGGTCCCCTCAGGGCAAGGAGCCTGCGCCAGGGTGCAGCGTCAGGCCACGCCGGAGGGCGGGGGGGTGCCTTGTGGGGGGAAGCGATGAATTGCACGAAACCTGCAGCGGTCCCTACCCGCGGCGGGATGAACGCGGTCAGACTCCGCCCCGCCCCGCCCAGCCCCGCCCCAAGGCTGAACCGGGCGGCGCCCCGCACCTGACGTTC